AGGGAAGTTACCAGTAGGCTACTGCTACCTCACACAGGCAAGATCTGCAAAAGCTCAGACCTCTCAGGTATAAAAGTTTGCAAAACACCTGTGTCTGGTTCCAGAATCCAAGCTCTTCAACATACCACTTTCTACTAATATCAATCTACTTGGAGTTCTTTAATCAAGAAATTCCCTCTTTCATTTCCATTCCTTTGTATCTGTTATTTTGTCTGGAATGCTCATATCAACTTTCCAACTGGGAACTCCTAATCATCCTCTTTGAAACTTTCTCTGATCCCTGGAGGGTGGTCCCAAATATCCTAACTCAATACTCTACAATATCTTAACATGAAATATACTCTAGATCAGTGGTTCTCAACCTATGGGTCGCGACCCCTTTGGGGGTCCAACGATCCTTTCACAGGGGTTGCTTAAGACCATCGGAAAACACATATATAATTACATATTGTTTTTGTGATTAATCACTATGCTTTAATTATGTTCAATTTGTAACAATGAAAACACATCCTGCATATCAGATATTTACATTACGATTCATAACAATAGCAAAATTACAGTTATGAAGTAGCAACTAAAATAATTTTATAGCTGGGGGTCACCACAACATGAGGAACTGTATTAAAGGGTCGCGGAATTAGGAAGGTTGAGAACCACTGCTCTAGATGCTTATTGGTTTTTTCCACGAGGCTATAAGCTTCTAAATGGTAGAAACTACAACTTCCATATTTGTATCCTCAACAATTACTCAGTATGGAAGTAATAAGTGTCTACTGAAAGAGTAGCTGGCCTCTCTTAATTTCCTATGGTATTGACCATTGCATAATAGATTTGGGGTACTTATATTTAAATTAGCATCTAATAAATACTATGTTCAGTTCCTTAATTATTTGATATGATGTTTCCCAGTTCTCCTACTAAGTTGAAAAACTTCTTAAGAGCTGAGTTCACACCATTTACTAGTTCTGTATTCTCTTTAGTACCTAAGAGTGTTGGGCACATGGTAAGCACTCAATAAATACTTGATGAACTGAATTAAAAACGCAGTATTAGCACATTTAATGGGAGCAACTTATCATGCCCTACCGATCTAATTAAAAGATCTGGCCTTCTGAAGTAGTGCAATTGTACCCATATGGAAAATTTAATGAGAAAAAGAAAAATTATCCAATTGGACAGTTAACAGTTTCTCTCTTAGCAAGAGTTCCACAAATATTTTAAGGATAACAAGGGCCAACCTCTAGAGCTCAGAATAAAAAACTCAAGGTATATTCCCTGTGCATACTGCAAGGAAGATTACATGCTTAAGGGGTCTGTCACAGACATAATTACTTAAATTCCACTAACCCCTAACAAATCCATAACAGGAGTAAAAGATAACAATATTTAAAAGCAAAATTAATTAAAGCCAAATCAATCTGTCTTAAAGATGTCTATGGTTATCTTTGCACAATATATAGCACAACCATTGTTTACTCAGACAACAACCATTTAAGTGCCACTAATGAAAAGTGCTGTTAGGGACCAGGAATGCGAAGATGAAAAGAACACAGTCCTGTGTTCTGGCTCTGCCATATGCAACAGTATTTTGTCACAAAAGAATATTATGTGACTCGTACCTCCTGGAGTTGCTCAACATGCATGCTCTGGGGGTAGTGGTCTAGTGAAGGAGGTGGATCAACACATACTTCAGGCAATGTGATTAGTGTTAACACAGAAACAAGTACAAGCTGTTACGGGGCCACAGAGAAAACAGTCAACCTGCTAAAGAAGTCAGGAAAAGATATGGAAGAAACTGACATCCATATATGATTCAATGGGAGTTAAAGTGTGAGGAAGCTACCAAGACAGAACCATCTGCGATGGAATCAAACCTATGGTTGCAAACAGAGTCGGTAGGGTTCCAAAGCAAACCAATCAACTCAAAGCAAAATGCTGTAGAAGGGCCCAAAATAAAATACTCCTTGCCTTTAAGTTTGAGAATAATGAAACACATATACAAAAGAATTTAAATCACCACATGGTAGAAGCATAAAGAGAATCTTTTAAACAAGAGATCGCATCAAAGTTCAAAGAGAGCCAGCCGATCACTAGGAGTTAGAGAGAGCTGTGAGGAAAATCTTCGTAAAAGAAGAGGCAGAAACACTGATGAGGGAGGGAGCAGAGGGGGATGCTAGTGTGCTGAGAAAGACCAATGCTGTTAACAAAAGCAAGGACTTAACCTGCGTATCTGTGGGACCACAAAGAGGTCAAGATTCCTGTTGGGAAGCAGTGGGGGGGGAAGTTGGACACATGAGTGAAGGCCTAATTGAGAAGAGTCTGGAACACAAGCCTAGCAGACTGAACACTGTTCTAGACCAGTGATTTTCAAGTGGTATGCTACAAGAGGCACACTGGTGTGCCACAAAAATTTTTAAAGCATGCAATACCTGACTATTTAGTCAGGGGCACTGACCTCTTTTCCCTTAGACTGTCAAATAAAAAAAATGACAGCCCCAACCGGTTTGGCTCAGTGGACAGAACGTCAGCCTGTGTGAACTGAAAGGTCCCAGGTTCGATTCCGGTCAAGGGCATGTACCTTGGTTGTGGGCACATCCCCAGTAGGGGGCGTGCAGGAGGCAGCTGATCGATGTTTCTCTCTCATTGATGTTTCAAACTCTCTATCCCTCTCCCTTCCTCTCTGTAAACAATCAATAAAATATATTTTTTTTAAAAAATGACAACATGGCCCAGCCGGCTTGGCTCAGCGGTTGAGGTAAAGGTTCAATTCCCAATCAGGGCACATACCCGGGTTCTGAGCTCTATCCTAATGTGGGCGTGCAGGAGGCAGCCGGTCGATAGTTCTCTCTCATCATTGATGTTCCCTTCTCTCTCTCCCTCTCCTTTCCTCTCTGAAATCAATAAAAATATATTTATTTTTTAAAAATGACAACATGGTGATAAAAAAACAAAATAAAATAAAAATTTTAAAAATGACAACAGCCAACACAATAACCATCCGATGTGAATGAATCAAAATTACACTGTTTTTTTTGTTTGTTTGTTTGTTTGTTTCTTTTGTCAGATGAGCAAAAAATTTACTTTTTGGCGTGCTGTGGAATTTTAGTAGCTTATGTGTGCCACGAGGTGAAAAAGGTTGAAAATCACTGTTCTAGACTCATAGTAGTTCTCAACCCTGACTGATGAATAGAAACACCTGGGGAGTTTTAAAAATATACCTATGGGTGAGACTACCCCATATAAAAAGAGAATTTCGGGGAGGGAGAGGGGGGATGGCCTGAGCATTAAAATGTAAAAGTACACAAGGTGATTCTAAAGTACAGTCGGTTCTGAACCACAGGGCTAGAGAAAAGAAAGGTAAAGCATGACAGATATGGTTAAGACCCACGCTTGATCTCAGTCCCCGTTCATAAGCAGCAATTTTTAGTTGATTATCTGGTGAAGCTTATCTTCTAACCTGAGTTAAACATTCTCTGTTTTAGTGTTTCTTTTCCCTTGTTGACAATGCTAAGCTCTGAAAATAGGAAAATAGCCTATAAATTTCCCTTACATGACTGTTTCACTGACTGCACAATCTGCAACTCTTGAATTTCATTTCCATGAAGGCCCATAGACATCTAATTTAGAAAATAATTATTTCAATCCTAAACTGCCCTTAGATCCCTGCAATGAAGTGCTTTTATATTAAAGAATGTCTTGGGCTGCATCCATGTCTGGATTTCATAAAATTTCTCTTTTAAATACAGGGAGAATGTAATACCTATGTATACAAAAGTCACACTGCTTAGACTAAAGCAAAATGTGATATTAAGTATTGATTCCTGTAGTACCTGGAGACATTATACTGTACTGTTCCTGGTTTCAGCAGTGCAATAACTACAAAGTATTTTGCAACAGATACTTTCCGAGTACTTCACAAATAAAGGGAAACAACAAATGTAGCCCATACAGCAACTCTGTACTACATTGAACAAGTGTCCTGTGTGGGAGGAAAAAGTCATTAAGGTGACTGGAGAGTAGGACAGCCTGTTGATCCCTCAAAACGCAGGTCTGTTTGTTTTTGCTTGTTCGTTTTTTAAGAAAAAACATAGATAAAAAAAAAAAAAGAAAAAACATAGATATGAATATGTTTCAGGTTCCATGTTACTCACTGAAGGGTTTATTCAAGAATACTTTGCTTATAGGTAAGCAACTGTCTTCTTTATGCAAACTTAAGTTAGCCACAACTGGTTAAAAAAAAAAAATGGTATGAGAACATAAGTTGGAAGCCTATAGCTGAGATTTCCACACACAGGTTTATGGAGTCTCTTGTTTCCAGATGAAGTTAATAAATTCAAAGGACTGTACCCCACTGAAACCGCAGTGGGGGAGTGGGGAAGGTGGAAAGGGGGCAGTGAGTATGGGAGAACCCAACAATCACAATGTTAAACATGAACAAGATTCCAAGAGTTGGCCATTAGCTTCTACCGCTCGTACTCAAGAGAGGAAAAGAACAGCTTCTAATGAGAAAACGCAATCCTAACTCTGCGACATGGGGGTGAGAGTCAAAAAGCAAGTCACGTGAGTCTGACCAGCAGGTCCCAAGGAAATTCCGAGCCAGGAGAGCACAGGGGGTGAATGAGACCGGAAAAGGTGCAGGGGGCGGGCAAAGGCCGTCCGGGTGAGCCCGGGCGCCCAGCTCTTTATGCACCAGGGCGGCGAGGAGCCTCTCGCCCCGCGTGCATCTGGGGCCGGTGAGCAGCGAGAGCCCCCCACGGGCCTGGCACCAGGGGGCGCCCGGAGGTCGGGCAGAAGAGGGGTGCACGTAGCACCCGCGCTCGCACCCCATAGCCTCCGCCAGCAGGGTCCCCACGAAAGAGGCACACTTTGCGCAGCCCTAGCCTCCGGGATCAGGGAGGGGTGGGTGGAGCGGAGCCCGGAGCCGCCCCCCGGAGCCGCCCTCGCAGCCCCGGCCCCCGCCCCCCGCTCCGCTGTCAGCAGCCCCCTCCGCAGTCACTCACCCGCGGGCTGCGCGGTCTCGGCCGCGGCGGCGGCAGCGGCGACCCCCGCCCGGGTCATGATCCCAGGCGCGTAAGGCAGGGCTGTCCGACCGCCCCGGCGAACCTCTCCCTCCGCGGCCGGCGCCGGCTCCTCTGGGGCTGGGGGAGCGCGGGCCCAGGCCCTCCTCTCCCCCCGCCCCGCGGCCTCTTCCTGCGGCCGCCGCCGGCGCTGCGAGCCGAAGCCCTCTAGGCAGGAGACCCGGCGGCAGCGCGGCCTCAACTTTCCCAGCCCCCCTCCCCCCGCCCCTCCCCCCGCCCCTCCCCGCCCCTCCGCCGCGGCCGCTTGGCACGCAAACAGCCTACCCTGGGTGCGCCGCGCTCCCGCCCCTGCCCCTCAGCCCACCAATCAGGCCCCGGGGAGGCTGCCGTGGTAGCCAATCACGACCCGGGATCCCGTTGCGCTAGGCTGGAGGGCGGGAGGAGGTGAAGGGAAAACCGGAGAGTGAACGAGCCTCAGGCGGCCCAATGAGGAGGGCCGTGGGGCGGAGGTGTGCAAGTTGGGTTGAAGGAACAGGAAATATTCTTAAAGGTAGAGTGATGGGCAGGAAGGAAAGCCATTATGAATGGGAAAGAGGTGGGCCTGGTTCCTTAAAGGGGACGCCTTAAGAACCTGTAAAAGGAGGTGTTTTAAGAAACTTCTTTGTACCCTGTTCTCTGCTTTACCTTCCACGTCTTTCTGTGGGAATTTTTGTAAATGGAAAAACTGAAAAGGAAGAGGGCATCGAAGGCTTCAAGAATGATGAGAGAGCTCCTCTTAGCCTAGCGGGTGGGAAGGCGCGATTGATAACTCTGAGACAGGAGGTGAGAAAGCAGGAAAAGCACCCGGAGGTCTCCGACTGCCCTTTCCCTGGAGGATCGTCGCGGACCTGATGCAGCTCGAAAATGTAGGCTGTGGTCACGTCATCCTTCATTTGCAACAAAGCAGGGATTCCTGCGAACTGGAGACGACCGTTTTCAGAAATGTCGGGGCGGGGTGAGGGGGCTTCGCCGCTGGGAGAAGAGAATGTGTGGCTCGGGGGCATGGGATTTGGAACCTCGAGCTTGGGGTCCTAGGGACCTAGATCGAGGAGGTGTGGAGCCACGCGGGTGATGGGATGAAGACCTGAAGGTCTCCTAATTCCAAGATGGGTTTGGAGCCCTGGAGCCGTGGTAACAGCTCCGGTTTCCTGGTTTCACTTCATATTTCTTTACCCCCCACCCCCACCCCCCAACCCGAAACAGGTGTCCTCCATTTAGTGGTGGTGGTCCAGGACTTCCAAGTGCTTCCACAGCCAGGTTTGTAATGTCCCAGATCTGAGGTGTCCGTGGGCTAGAGCAGGTAGCTTCCAGACGATGCTTGGGGCATGGCATAATGGGAATTACTGGTGTATGGATGCAGAGGAAGCCGACCTTGTATTGAGAAACAGTGTAAAGTTAAACAGTAACCACATCTTATGTTTGTGCAGCAGTTTAAAAGCTATGATGAGCCCTGATGGGTAGCTCAGTTGGTTACAGCGCTCTCCTGATAGGCCAAGGTGGCAGGTTTGATCCTGTCAAGGCACGTACCAGAATCAACCAGTGAATGCATAAATAAGTGAAACAACAAATGGATGTTTCTCTCTCTCTCCCTTCCTCTCTAAAATCAATTTTGTTGGTGTTCTTGTTAATCCTCACCCAAGGATATTTTTTCCATTGATCTTTCGAGAGTGCAAGGGAGGGAGGAGGAAGGAGAGAGAAAAACATGGATGTGAAAGACAGGCATCCACTGGTTGCCTCCTGGGGGGTACCAAACCTGCAACCAAGGTGAGCGCCCTTGACCTGGAATCAAGCCTGCCACCCTGCAGGAGGCAGGCCTACACTCTCATTACAAGCCAAACCGGCCAGGGCTCTCTAAAATTTTTTTAAAGTTAAAAGCTATCAATGTAAATTAAAAATCAGCTATGCCCTGGCTGGTTTGGCTCAGTGGATGGACCGTCAGTCCTCGGACTCAAGGATCCCGGGTTCAGTTCCAGTCAAGGGCATATGCACAGGTTGTGGACTTGATCCCCAGTGGGGGGCGTGCAGGAGGCAGCCAATCCATGACTCCCTCTCATCATTGATGTTTCTATCTCTCTTTTCCTCTCCCTTCCTCTCTGAAATCAATAAAATAAAATTTTTTTAAAAAATTAAAAGCTATGATGCAAAGTTGCTTATAAATGATAGAAGTATAAACAGTCTGGAAATTTTAACTGTTGCATCTTAGCATATGAAGTTCTAAGTAGCCTCTCAATGAACGTAGCACAATCAAATCAAAGTTGCAGATGAGTAAGACCCTAGGATTCAGAGCCTAATAATAACGCTAGTAGTACCTCCCAGAAATTGTATAGTATGCATATGTCCAGCTGTAGGAAATAATTTCATTGTGATCAAAACATAAGGTATTCTGGCTTAAAAACTATTTTGGTTAATAAATATCATACCTAGGGTTATGTATGATTTTCTAAGCAACTACATTGCGTGGAACCTGAAGTAAAATAAATAATTTTGATGGCTCAGAAAAAAATGATTTAAGAGTTGCCTTGGACCACCATTAATTTCACATTAAAACCTTTCTGGCACAATTTAGAAGTGTTTAATAAGAAATTTTTATTGAATGAAAGGTCTGAACATTAGCTCTCTAATTTTAATTCTCATTCCTGACTGAAGCCCAAATCCCAGTGCCCATTCAGCAAAGGTTTACTGTATAACCTCATAGATATGAGAGGATGACATCAGATCGTCGCCCCGTCCAATTTTTTATCTAGCTGGCGACTGCTCATACTGATGATAAAATATGGTGGCCAAGTGAAATCTGTTTCCTTGCCTCCAGGCCAAATCCATTTTTCACAGGGCTCCAGTGACTCCACCTTTCACTCGCATAGTTAAGACCCTTCCACGACTCTAAAAGACCTTTTACCTGACTTACAAATCCATTGCTTACATCCCCAGTTTCATTTCATGACATCTCTGTTTTCCTACTTCTGGGGGTGAATGAGGAGGGGGCAGCTGCTGACCAAACGAGGTGGGATGGGTTGGGGTGGGGTGCGGCCCAGGGTTTCGGGGCCCGGGCGCATCAGGGGGCAGCTCCGGGCTCTGCTCCACCTACCTTCTCCCTGCTCCTGGAAGCCAGGGTTGTGTTAAGAACACCCGCCTTTGCCCTGACTGGTTTGGCTCAATGGATAGAGTGTTGGCCTATAGACTCAAGGGTCCCAGGTACGGTTCTGGCCACGGGCACCACAAATAAATAAGTAAAATAAGTGAAAGCAGCGCCTTACTCTTAGGGGGCACTGCCTGCGGAAGAGCTTAGTGATGCTCACCTTTTTGCCCCTCATCAGGGCAGCCCGTGCCCCCTCGTCAGGAATGCCCGCGCCCCCTCGTGCTGGGTGCCAGGCATGGCGCAGACCTCTGGCCCCACCATGCGGGCGCAGCGCAAGACATGCTCCAGGCTTGCATTTTCTTTTTACGAGCTTTCACAAATCAATGCCAGCGATACAAGCCAATGGTACAATTTTGAAATCTTACCTATTTGCCAAAAAAACTTTCCAGTTGCTTTTCAAAGTGCTTGTAATGTGTCGCATTTTCAACAGCAATATATGAGGACTCCACATATTCCACATCATCATCAAACCTTGATATTATCAGTCTTTTTCTTTTTTTTTTTTTAAGGTGATATGTCAGTGTAGTTTTTTTTTTAATTAAATCTTTATTGTTCAGATTATTACATTTGTTCCTCTTTTTTCCCCCCCATAACTCCCCTCCTCCCAGTTCCCGCCCCACCCTCCGCCCTCACTCCCCACCCACTGTCCTCCTCCATAGGTGCACGATTTTTGTCCAGTCTCTTCCCGCATCTCCCACACCCCTTTCCCCCCCAAGAATGGTCAGTCCATTCCGTTTCTATGTCCCTGATTCTATTATAATCACCAGTTCATTCTGTTCATCAGATTATTTATTCACTTGATTCTTAGATTCACTTGTTGATAGATGCATATTTGTTGTTCATAATTTGTATCTTTACCTTTTTCTTCCTCTTCCTCTTCTTAGAGGACACCTTTCAGCATTTCATATAATCCTGGTTTGGTGGTGATGAACTCCTTTAGCTTTTCCTTATCTGTGAAGCTCTTTATCTGACCTTCAATTCTGAATGATAACTTTGCTGGATAAAGTAATCTTGGTTGTAGGTTCTTGGTATTCATCACTTTGAATATTTCTTGCCACTCCCTTCTGGCCTGCAAAGTTTCTGTTGAGAAATCAGCTGACAGTCGTATGGGTATTCCCTTGTAGGTAACTGAGTTTCTTTCTCTTGCTGTTTTTAAGATTCTCTCTTTATCTTTTGCTCTTGGCATTTTAATTATGATGTGTCTTGGTGTGGTCCTCTTTGGATTCCTTTTGTTTGGGGTTCTCCACGCTTCTTGGACCTGTAAGTCCATTTCTTTCACCAGGTGGGGGAAGTTTTCTGTCATTATTTCTTCAAATAGGTTTTCAATATCTTGCTCTCTCTCATCTTCTGGCACCCCTATAATTCTGATGTTGGTACGCTTGAAGCTGTCCCAGAGGCTCCTTACACTGTCCTCGCATTTTTGGATTCTTTTTTCATTCTGCCCCTCCAGGTGGGTGTTTTTTGCTTCCTCGCATTTCAAATCATTGACTTGATTCTTGCGCTCCTCTGGTCTGCTGTCGGGAGTCTGTATAATATTCGTTATTTCAGTCCATGTATGCTTAATTTCTAGTTGGTTCCCCAACATAACATCGAGGGTCTCATTAGTTTTCTTGTAGATCTCATTAAGTTTATCGGCGGCTTCTAAACAGTTCTTGAGAGACCTTAAAAGTGTGGTTCTGAACTCTATATCTTCCATTGACAATTTTGTCCTGTTTCTTTGTCTCCGCATTTTGTTATGCTTCCTTGGTGCACCCCCCTGGTCTTTGTGCGCAGTCTTGTAGTTAAGCCTTGATTGTTGTAGCTAATACCAGGGAGGGTTTGACCGCCAGGCCAAGTGGCTGTGAGAATCAGCTGTGTCTGCAGTGAGAGAACTTCTGTCCTCTAGGGAAGTGCTAATCTAGCCTTTGCCTGAGGCTATCCGGCAAATGCCTCTGTGCAGTGCTTGGGCGGGGCGGGTTGCACAGGATCAACAGGGTGGGCCGGAGAGAGCAGTTATGGCGGCTCTCAGTCCTGTCCCCAGGGGCTCTGCCTCTCTGAGTCCCAGCGACCGCTGCAAACCCCGGAGAGAAAGC